TTTTTTCTAAAGGTTCAATGTAAAAAATACTAAAAACTCAATGTAATTGAGTTATTATTAATGGAGTTATGATTTTTTAAAAATAATGATGGTTTGTAAAGTAAAACTTTATAAATAATTTTTTCACTCAAAAACTAAAATGAGTGGACAGTTGAAATTTTGAAAACTTTCTCCTAAAGGTTCAATGTAAAAAATACTAAAAACTGAATGTAATTGAGTTATTATTAATAGAGTTATGATTTTTTTTAAATAATGATGTTTTGTAAAGTAAGACTTTACAAACAATTTTTTCACTCAAAAACTAAAGTCAGTGGAGAGTTGAAATTTTGAGGACTTTTTCCTAAAGGTTCAATGTAAAAAATACTAAAAACTCAATGTAATTGAGTTATTATTAATGGAGTTATGATTTTTTAAAAATAATGATGGTTTGTAAAGTAAAACTTTATAAATAATTTTTTCACTCAAAAACTAAAATGAGTGGACAGTTGAAATTTTGAAAACTTTTTCCTAAAGGTTCAATGTAAAAAATACTAAAAACTGAATGTAATTGAGTTATTATTAATAGAGTTATGATTTTTTAAAAATAATGATGGTTTGTAAAGTAAAACTTTATAAATAATTTTTTCACTCAAAAACTAAAATGAGTGGACAGTTGAAATTTTGAAAACTTTTTCCTAAAGGTTCAATGTAAAAAATACTAAAAACTCAATGTAATTGAGTTATTATTAATGGAGTTATGATTTTTTAAAAATAATGATGGTTTGTAAAGTAAAACTTTATAAATAATTTTTTCACTCAAAAACTAAAATGAGTGGACAGTTGAAATTTTGAAAACTTTTTCCTAAAGGTTCAATGTAAAAAATACTAAAAACTGAATGTAATTGAGTTATTATTAATAGTTATGATTTTTTAAAAATAATGATGGTTTGTAAAGTAAAACTTTATAAATAATTTTTTCACTCAAAAACTAAAATGAGTGGACAGTTGAAATTTTGAAAACTTTTTCCTAAAGGTTCAATGTAAAAAATACTAAAAACTCAATGTAATTGAGTTATTATTAATGGAGTTATGATTTTTTAAAAATAATGATGGTTTGTAAAGTAAAACTTTATAAATAATTTTTTCACTCAAAAACTAAAATGAGTGGACAGTTGAAATTTTGAAAACTTTCTCCTAAAGGTTCAATGTAAAAAATACTAAAAACTGAATGTAATTGAGTTATTATTAATAGAGTTATGATTTTTTTTAAATAATGATGTTTTGTAAAGTAAGACTTTACAAACAATTTTTTCACTCAAAAACTAAAGTCAGTGGAGAGTTGAAATTTTGAGGACTTTTTCCTAAAGGTTCAATGTAAAAAATACTAAAAACTCAATGTAATTGAGTTATTATTAATGGAGTTATGATTTTTTAAAAATAATGATGGTTTGTAAAGTAAAACTTTATAAATAATTTTTTCACTCAAAAACTAAAATGAGTGGACAGTTGAAATTTTGAAAACTTTTTCCTAAAGGTTCAATGTAAAAAATACTAAAAACTGAATGTAATTGAGTTATTATTAATAGAGTTATGATTTTTTAAAAATAATGATGGTTTGTAAAGTAAAACTTTATAAATAATTTTTTCACTCAAAAACTAAAATGAGTGGACAGTTGAAATTTTGAAAACTTTTTCCTAAAGGTTCAATGTAAAAAATACTAAAAACTCAATGTAATTGAGTTATTATTAATGGAGTTATGATTTTTTAAAAATAATGATGGTTTGTAAAGTAAAACTTTATAAATAATTTTTTCACTCAAAAACTAAAATGAGTGGACAGTTGAAATTTTGAAAACTTTTTCCTAAAGGTTCAATGTAAAAAATACTAAAAACTGAATGTAATTGAGTTATTATTAATAGTTATGATTTTTTAAAAATAATGATGGTTTGTAAAGTAAAACTTTATAAATAATTTTTTCACTCAAAAACTAAAATGAGTGGACAGTTGAAATTTTGAAAACTTTTTCCTAAAGGTTCAATGTAAAAAATACTAAAAACTTAATGTAATTGAGTTATTATTAATGGAGTTATGATTTTTTAAAAATAATGATGGTTTGTAAAGTAAAACTTTATAAATAATTTTTTCACTCAAAAACTAAAATGAGTGGACAGTTGAAATTTTGAAAACTTTCTCCTAAAGGTTCAATGTAAAAAATACTAAAAACTGAATGTAATTGAGTTATTATTAATAGAGTTATGATTTTTTTTAAATAATGATGTTTTGTAAAGTAAGACTTTACAAACAATTTTTTCACTCAAAAACTAAAGTCAGTGGAGAGTTGAAATTTTGAGGACTTTTTCCTAAAGGTTCAATGTAAAAAATACTAAAAACTCAATGTAATTGAGTTATTATTAATGGAGTTATGATTTTTTAAAAATAATGATGGTTTGTAAAGTAAAACTTTATAAATAATTTTTTCACTCAAAAACTAAAATGAGTGGACAGTTGAAATTTTGAAAACTTTTTCCTAAAGGTTCAATGTAAAAAATACTAAAAACTGAATGTAATTGAGTTATTATTAATAGAGTTATGATTTTTTTTAAATAATGATGTTTTGTAAAGTAAGACTTTACAAACAATTTTTTCACTCAAAAACTAAAGTCAGTGGAGAGTTGAAATTTTGAGGACTTTTTCCTAAAGGTTCAATGTAAAAAATACTAAAAACTCAATGTAATTGAGTTATTATTAATGGAGTTATGATTTTTTAAAAATAATGATGTTTTGTAAAGTAAGACTTTACAAACAATTTTTTCACTCAAAAACTAAAGTGAGTGGAAAGTTGAAATTTTGAGGACTTTTTCCTAAAGGTTCAATGTAAAAAATACTAAAAACTCAATGCAATTGAGTTATTATTAATGTAGTTATGATTTTTTTTTAAATAATGATGTTTTATAAGGTAAGATTTTTCAAACAATTTTTTCACTAAAAAACTAAAGTGAGTGGTAAATTGAAATTTTGAGGAGTTTTTCCAGAGGGTTCAATGTAAAAATACTAAAAACTCAAAGCGATTGAGTTATTAATAATGGAGTTATGATTTTTTTTAAAATAATGATGTTTTGTAAAATGAGACTTTACAAACAATTTTTTCACTCAAAAACTAAAGTAACTGGAAAGTTAAAATTTTGAGGACTTTTTCGTAAAGGCTCAATGTAAAAAATACTAAAAACTTAAAGCGATTGAGTTATTATTAATGGAGTTATAATTTTTTTGTATCTCCTGTTTAAATTTCTGGGGGGCGGTTAACTCTGTTAAATCGGTGTACGAATGGACTTAAATCACTTTAAATCCCTTATTAAATCACATAAATCATCTTGTTTTGCTCTAAATTAGAATAAATGAGGTTAAATCCCTTCAAATCTCTTTAAATCCCTCTCAAATCTTTTTAAATCAATTAAATCCCTAAAAATCTGAGATCCGGAACACTTTAAATCCCTAAATAAATTTCCTTAAATCACCTTAGTTTTTTCATAAATCATATCAAATCACGTTAAAATCGATTTAAATTTTCTTAAATCTCTTACAATCCCTTTAAATCTTTTTAAATCTTCATAAATCTCCATAAATCATTTCAAATCGATAAAAAAATGGTTAAAATCCCGCGCAAACTTTGGGCGACTCCAACTCGACAAACCTCGAGGTGCAATCGTTTATATTCGTTTGAGGCTTGCGCATGTGTGTTCTCGGGTGTTCTCATTTGGGCTAAATGGCCGTCGTAAGTTGGAATTTCTTCCTAAGAAAAAGGAAGAAATTCCAACTTACGATGGCCATTAAGCCCGAATGAAATAGTTATTTTCCTAACAAGTGCGCAAAGTGATACTTTCCCGCACGAAAAAGCAGTTAGACAGCGACGCGAAGCGGAGTTTGGATAAGCTTTGAGTGCGGGAAAGACGCTTTGCACAAGTGTTAGGAACAATATTTTTTCTAGGAGTATCTTAAAAAAGTAGACTTTGAATTGCTAAAATATTAGAAAAATCAATCAATTCAAAATCGTTTAAAATCTATTGGAATTCCTCAGATTGTCTTTTAAATTAAATCCCCAAAAATCTTTTAACATCTTCTGGAATTTCTAGAATACCAGCTAGAATATTTTCATGGGAGTCTCTTAAATATCAAAAATTCTACAAATTCCTAGCAGTACAGGCTGGTCTAATTTGGATACCTTTGATAGGAAACATCATGTTAACTAAGCGCTAATTTCAACCTAAACCCTTCATTTTGAGTATTACTTTATTCAGAAACCATCAAAACATTGAAAATTCAAGTATAACTACAGTAAATATGGAGTTTTCGCACGCAAATGGGTGTGCAAAGTGATTACTTTGCGCAAGCGAGTCGAAAAATACCTTATCAATAAACTTGGGCCGCAAAAGCCTCACAAACTTTATTACTTTTAGAATTTTTTTTATTAGTTCAAAATTTAAGTTGGACTATTATGAGAGAGAAAGTACCCATTAGCACTAAAATATCTGGTTATTAGATACATTTTCATCTTCTCAGAATTAAAATTAATTACCTTGAATCATCCCAGGTTAAATCAGTTCAAATCGAGGTTCAAATCTTAAAAAAATCTTTAATCCATTTAAATCTTCTTAAATCAGGTTAAATCTTCCTAGATCAGCTTAAATTTTTTTAAATGATCCAATAAATCTTTAAATTACCTTAAATCACCTTAAATCAGTTAAGGTCTGAATAAAAATCTCTTAAATCCAATTAAATCTGTTAAATCATTAAAAATCAACAGTGATTTTAAATCGGTGTACACATTTTGAAGAAGTTGACCGCACCCCGGAAATTTCATTGTAATTAATAAATGTATTAAAAAAAAATCTTTGTCTGGAAGGGGTAATTATCCCCTCTACCTCCTGCCCTTTAAACTGACCTTGATCACTAAAGATATACATTCAAAAAACCAAAGCCATCTTTCATTTAAGTTGTTTTTTTTTTCAAACAAATAAGTTACCTAGCAGCCTTAATTCTTCCCAAATAATACAAAAACCTGGCCCATTCATTGTTGCTAGCAGTTTCAGGAAAAACACACTTGGAAACCAACTTGTCTGCTTGATCATAGAGTGAATAGTGCAAATAATTCCTCAACAGACAATTGATAAGAACTGCTTGTCCTTCAAAGTCATTCCTCAAAGTTGCTGTACGCAATCTGGCATGCAAAAAAGCACGAATTGTGTCCAACCTATATGAATCATGATTAAACAATATAACTTGAACTAATATAACATGACATACTTATTAGACAATTCAGCTACTCTAGAATGATAAAAGTAGCACTTAGCAGCAATCAAGTCAATAGTTCTCCTGTTTTGACTGACGATTTTGTTCATCAAAGCCTGGGAGCACCTTTGAGCCTCCTCCAGCTTGTTGGTGTCAATTAGTCTTACCAAAATCAACAAGTTAATATAAGAATCCACCTCTGGCAAGGCAGCTTTAGTAGCTGAACGAATCCTGGTTTGAGAGCTTTCAATTTCACCTACAGCCTCCTCAACAAAGACCAGCAGAGCTTCACGATCTGCTGCAGGATAAATTTGCGTTATGAGACTTCTAAGTACTACACCGTTGAGTTTACGTCTTGTATTTGGTAAGCACCTAAATTATATTATAATGTATTTAAGCCAATAAAATATTCAATTTTACCTTAAAACCCTTAAAATAAAGCGGCTTTCTTTGTTGGAAATCGCCTTTTCAATTTGCCTGGTGTGTTCTCGGATCTCTTGCAGACTTTGCAAATCGGCGTCTCGTTTGCTGTCGCCGGCCTCGGGACCCGGGGGGCTGTCGGCGTTTTTCATTTCCACGTCGTTTTCCACTGAAACCATCTCGTTCAAATGGGATTTAGCTTTGAGGGAAATATAAGAAAAAACAAAGTTTCTATTATTGCAACAATGAAATGTCAAAAATTGAAAAATTTTTCTTGCTTTGTAATGGTTTGGTTATGTTCAGAGGAGAAAAGAAGATAATACAGTAAACTGTAACCTTGTAGTGAACTGCATAGATGTGAACTGTCAACAACAGTGTCATCTAGAGTTCTACGTACACAGTTATTAGACAAATCTGAAAGTTTTTTTTTTTAAAAATCTGCAATTATTACAGAAATCTGTAATAAATATAGAAAATAATTCACATCAAAAGTAGGCTTTGGAATGTCATTTTCATTGAAATTAAACTAAAAACAAGTTTCCAGTAAAGTCTGTTTTTTTTTTTAAAGATAAAGTCAAAAATTTAGTAACTATGTTGGCACAGGGCCGTAGCCAGGGGGGGGGCATTGGGGGGCAATGCCCTATCTTTCAAATGATCATACCCTACTTTTAAAATGCAACATGCGTTAAGGTTTCTCTAAGAAATTCAAGAGTAGATAATGTGTAAGTAAGTGCGAGGATAAGTGTTTCCGAAAACTCCTAAATGTATGCAACAATGTTTGACGTTTACACAGAGGAAGAGTTTTTCGTTTCGAAAGAGTGCAAATGCAAGGATAATACGATAATACACACTACCACAAAGGATTGCTTATCGGCCTCATTAGTGGAAATTGCGGCCATATGGTGTAACAGTATTGACGACATCATCAACTACGTCGTCAGCTGTTTGCGCCAGCGGTCGTAGTTTAGAATATACATTTATGATGAAAAATGTTATTATGGGATCTCAGATTAACCCGTCCTAAAGATAGAAAACTCAGGCCTTTTTCCCTATCCTTGTCTTACTCATGCAGCGAGTTGTATGACTGCCACAGCATGGTGGCGCTAGTGTGCACTTCGGTTCCCGCCTTTTTTCAAATAATTTGTCTAATCAATTTCATTTTATTATTTAACCCTATTTTTTGAAAATAAAACAATAACATTTCAGTACTATCTCCTTCTTTAACTTTAACACAACAACAGAAAACCGTATTGAAAAAAAAAAAACACTAAAAAGTTGATAGGTCTTGTGCACAAATGACTCCTTAAGTGAATATCGAAAATTGCAAATAAATACTATCACTAGACCATTTAAACAATGTTTACATGTAAAATAATGTCTCTTTGGTTAAAAACATATTAAGAAGTCAAAGTTTTACCAAAAATTGATAGAAAATCAAATAAAGAGCACTAACACACATTAAACGGCTGACTAATGCCGCTAATGGCAAAGTTCTGTGATGGCAAATCATAATGGCAAATATAACGACAAATAACATTCACTCACAGATGACATTTGCTTGTGGCTTTGCTATACTAGCGCCGCATAGCTTTGGCAGTCATGAAACTCTCATACGTGTTATTTTTTAGACAGCTCTGAACGAACATTTTACATGGAAGTTTCCTATCTTTAGGACGGGTTAATCTGTGCATGGGATCATAACTTGTGGTGAAAACACCCTACGTCAAGGCGAGAAACGACACGCTACCTACGTAATCACTGGTTCTTTGGCGTGGTGGGGGGGGCTTGAGATTTAATATACACAGGCCTTGTGATGATAAACTATCCAGTAATAGTAGAAGTAGTTATGGCGAAAACCATTGGTGAAATTCATGCAAAAAACATGTCTTTCTGTCACTTTCTTTTACATGCCAGTAGAAGAGGACACGAATGCACTCAGTGCATACTGAACTTACCAATGGATTTCACTATTAGTGTGTATTATCCTTGGTGCGAATGATCCAAGGCGGCGCGAGAATCAGCGCCATTTTGTTTACTTGCCGGAGATGTTATTTATTGAAAAATTTGCCTTCGGCGCCATTACCACCAGATTGTTCACCTCTCGGTTCACCTATAATTTAAGGGTGGGGGAGGGGGCAAGTACTGTATGCCCTATGTCAAATTTATCATGCCCTATCACAAATTTGACTCTAGCTACGGCCCTGTGTTGGCAACACAAGCCTTTTCTACATAAAAGTTTGAAAGCATTGACAATTTTACATTGTATTACCAACATAATGTCATTTTGACTTTTATCTTTAAAAAAAAAAAACAGATTTTACCTACTTTTGGGAAGTGCAATGACTGCAATGGGGTAAGTAACGAAAATTTTAGTTTTATCAAGTAGGCTTTGGGATATAATTTCCGTTGGTTTTTCTTTGGATTTTCCACTTCAGCAGGGTTTTTTTCAATCGAAGAAAGGGAAATTCTAAGTGCGCTGCTTTGAATTTACCACAGACGCACTCTACCACAGACCAATAAGCACTTAAATTGTATCCTACCTTATCTTTCTCTTTGTCTTACTCATTTTTAATCGCATTTGCTGATTTTGCAATTGTTCCTATTTTATCTCCTTCTTTGTCTTATTCACTATAGGTACAGGGTAGTCCAAGAAGCGCGGCTCGGTCAATAGTAGCCAAACCGTTGAACTTATGGAAAAATGTTCTGTATAAAAGTTTTAGCATTTCATCTCTGCTATCACACAAAATTATTTTCAAGTTCCTATACAGGGTGTCTCAAAAAAGAAAGGAGATATTCAGGCCTATGATGTATCATTTTCTGTTATTTTAACAGCAACGTTAAGTTATCTGTCACTGTTTATTCTATACTTCAAAATAGAGACAGAAATGGATATTAGAGAGTTATTGGACGTGCAATAATAGAGAATTATGGCACTTCCCAAATAGTGATCGATTTTATTACTGATCGGCGTTATTTAATTACTGACAGTCACTATTTCTTATGAATAAAAAGAATTATGGCACATCGTGTTAAATGTCCACTATTTTGACAATTTTTTCGCGTCAGTGTCGCGTTGTTTACTCAATTGTAATGGAAGAAATGTTAGAAGCTGCCATTCTGGGGGGTGCAAATGATGTTTTTCGGTTTTATCCATTTACAAAACACATACAAAAAATATAAGCAGATTATGTGAGGTTAGAATCTGAAAAATTCCTGGACAACTGATATTTGCGCATGTCTCAAAAAATAGTGGAATAAATACTGCCTTTCACTATCGAATCACAAATAAGGATGATCCTTATTTTATTACTGACCACCACTATTTTTAGTCACAAATACGCATGCGTAGGTGTCAATAATGTCAAAATAAGAACGTTTATATTAGTGACCGTCACTATTTGAAGGTGCCATAATTCTCTAAGGACAAGCAGTATTTAAATTAGCCTTATTTTGACATCTACGCATGCGCATTTGGGTCCGATAATAAGGATTCCCTTAATACTTGTCTTCATTTGTGTATGGTTAGTGCGAAGCATTAAACTTCCCTTATTTCAAATTTCTGACATTTTGGACGACTTTGACATTTCGCTTTTGGACAATGACGTAATTTTACTTAGAAAATTTATTTTTTACAATAGCTTTTCATTTTACTGTGGGTAACCTCAAAAAATGGGTATTAGCAGAAAATCACAAACAAAAATAAACACTTTTTGAGGCTGAAATGTATAAACATAGCTATCAGCTGTCAAAATTATGAATACAAAATAAGGTAATACTCTAGCACCTACTACAGTCTTCCAATAACTGTTTTTTTCTTGGAAAAATAGTGCTGATGCACTAATAAAATAACGTAGATCCTTAATACTGCGAGGCAGTATTTAATAGTTCCAATAAGTCTCTATTGAGGCTTAACACAAACGTTAAAATGACAGGACAGGATACATCAGAGGCCTCATTGTGAAAAACCTGTTTTTTAGACTAAATTTTTCAATATGGCGGCGCGAGCGGCAAAAATACGAGGTGGCAAAGTAGGAATTCGAAAAGAACACGTCTCTAAACCTATAAAATTTTCAATACTCCTGAAAAACTTTCCAGGTGAAACTACCAAATTACTATATTATCCGTTCACAATCCGATGTCCACAGGTACAGGTAAAATTTATCATCTTTCAATGCTATTTGATAGGGAAAGGTGATAAATTTACCTGCACCTGTGGACATTGGATTGTGAACAGGATATACTTTTCACCGTTTTTTGTGCAAAGTTAAGGGAAAATCTTAATATCTTAAAATATTAATGAGATAGATACGGCAAATATGATATTTTCTGAAAGAGGACATTTTCAGCTTTTCAATAGAAAAATAATACCTATACGGGGTGTTGTATTTGAAAAACTCATTTAAAATGGACTTTAAAGTTAACGTATTTAGACAAATATTTTGGACACTCTGTATACTTAAATCGAAATATGAAGATACTTACATGTAAATTTTCGAGGGAAATTAATGTACAGTGGCGGAGGTATGACAATTTTAAAAAAGTGTGTTTTGGTCTATTTTTTTCTTCGAAAAATCATAACTTGGCAACGCTGCTTTCAACCCAAATACGATTTTAAAGTTGAATACAGAGCGTATAGAGGCTTCATTTGCCACACTAAAACATACCATATTCCATTTAAAAAAAACATAAAATTTCTGATTACTTTTTATTGAGACACCCTGTATATTTGAAAATAATTTTGAAGGATAGCAGAGATCAAATGCTAAAACATTGATACAGGACATTTTTCCATAAGTTCAACGGTTTGGCTACTATTGACCAAGACGCTCTTGTTGGACTACCCGGTATAATCACTATTTTTTTTTCAAAAATACAATCAAATTAAAATTAAAAATGAAAATTTGTTACTTTTCCGGGCTACACATTCATCGGAAATAAATGAACACATTTAATTGTAACATTGTAATTGTGGCAACATCGTTTTCAATCAAGTAAGCCTTTGACAGTCGGCCATTTTGACTGTTTTTATCTAGTTTTTCAGGAATTTTCTACTTTTTCAACTGGGAAAATTGTTTTAAAGTGCGGGGCTTTCGATTTTCTCCATTTTCTGCCAAAAATTCCAGCTTTTTAATGCTAAAATTAGTAGTTAGGTCTATGCAGGTTTCTATTGGTTTAACTGTCAATTTAAAAAAAAAAAAACAGGTTCGTGTATGTACATTTAGGAAATTACCATAAGTTATTGATAGAGGGCAGCACTTTCGACAAGAAAAAACTAATTCGAGCACAGATTTCAAACCTATTTTTTATTTTCTACTAGCAGTAGTATAAAA